GTTCTGCTTAAGCAGATCCGGAGAAGTGCGCGAAGGAAGCAGGGGTTGGGAAAGTTGCGATTTGGGACTACACCTCCCAGAATCCCCCACAGCCGGAGTTCTGGAAGCTGTAGTTACCGAATAGTAACTTTCTGACAGAGCGCAAACGGTGTGTGTAATAGCTCTCTAATTTTCGGATGGCGCGGCAAACAGAACTGGGTCCGAGGTGGCCCAAGACATTCTGCTGCCTGAGGCAAGCCAGCACATACCCCTACGTGCTCCAGCGCCCAGAGTGGATGTGTCGTATCCTAGGCCAGTTACGTTGGCATCTGAGGCAGAAATGCCTCAACTCCCCTCTCCCGGTAGAAATAGAGTTTTACTCAATTAAATGACTGAACATTTACTGTCTTTTCATACACAACTAAACTCTATTACCTGGTACATCTGAGGCAATCTCCTCACTCCGCCTAATAATAGGGCTGGCCCTCAGTGAGCCATGGTGACTGGAAGATGTGTTGTGGTCGGAAAAAAAAATAACTTTTCCAAGCAGTACTTGAAACCACCAATGACTTGTCCACCTGTGTGTGTGATGCAGTAAAACAACTCTTCACTTAGCTATTGCTGAAGGAGTGCCTACATTTGTATAAATCTTTCTTATCCCTATAAACACTTGTGGAAACTTTGTTGCCATATAACCCGCTGGTAGAGCTGTTCAGATGGTAGGCATTATTCTTAGAGAATGTGTGGCTCCCTCCCTGCCTTTTTAAAAGCAGGCTGTCTAATGTCCTAATCTGCTTTTAAATAAATTGATATTCAGTTTTGTCATATAAATTCAAATTTACTTCTTTTTGTAGTTGTTTCAGTTGTATTTCAAATTAACTTTCTCCCCCCTTCTAAATCTTTTAATTTTTTTTACTTTTCTTCTCTCTTTCCTTCATTTATATCAATTTTTTCACTTTCTTTCTTTCTAGTTTTTAGTATTAACTATACTAATTATATTAATAATAGATAGCAACAGCAATAATAATACTAAAATGATTAATAATTCTGAATTTTAATTGTTTGTTTACTTATAATTACAGGGCAGAGGGGGTGGAGAAGGGGGCTTCAGTGTTATCAAATATTGAAAGGAAATACGAAAATTTGGTAAAAAGAGCAGAGGCAAGGTTCTCGTTGCGGTTCTGCCAGAGAATGTTGGCACCCCCCCCCCATGTGCCCTCCCTAGTAGTTATAGCGGGGGAATATGGTGGGGTGGGAAAAAAGATAAATGTTCAGTGGGGTAAAGCATTGTATATTCAGGTTGAGTTTAATTTTTAGTGTATTTTTGTTTGTTTGTTGGGGGAATGGGTTGCACATGGGGCCTGTTAGGAGGAGAGACTTTGAACTGAAAAGGGCAAGAGAATAAGACTAGCCACTTTAACCGTGAAAGGCCTGGGATCAATAGTGAAAAGAAGAAGAATAGAAACATTATTGAAAAAAAAATAAGGTGGACATTGCCTTTTTGCAAGAGACTCATCAATCACAAGATGGAGTCAACGAAATTAAGATGAATAATATAGACATTTATGAAAACAACTTGCTCTCAACCTGGGTTCTTCTCTTGTGAGAATAGAGGTTTACCCCTGGAAGCAGCCATTTATACATTGAGAATCGAAGGCTTATAACAGCCTTTCAGCCTTTCTCACATTGGTCACCCAAAACAAGTGCTTTATTAAATGAATGTTACAATCTAAGCCAGGTACTGTAGTAGGTTCTCAGATATTAGATTTGTATGCATTTGGAAGCCAAGGAAGAAGGAGCAAATGGAAACTGCAGTATGGAGAAGAGTGATAAAAATATATGAGGGTAGCTTGTGCATATATATGCACACCATTAGAAGAACTTTATTAAGGCCCATCTGGTGTTTTCCCTGTGTCCTTCTCCCTGCCTCCTCCTCCATCTTTACTCCCAATCGCTTTCCCCTTTTCTTTCTTTATTCAGACTTCCTTTCTTATCTGATTAAGTACCTGATCCATTGTTT